AAAGCCATTCCCAGCAAGGTTATTATCTATGCCAGCAAAAGCAGGATGGAAAACCCCGAAGTGGAATGCCCACCCCACCCTCTCTCTGCCCCACCAGAAAGGTCTCAGGCAGAGGCCCATGTAGTCAGTCACCATCTTCCTTTTGCTTCTCCCTCCCTTCTCACAAGTCCACACTGCACTTGACTTAATGAAGCAGCTTACAGAAACCGTTTCCCACTGCCCTGTAGACACCCTTGTAAAGACCATTGCCCTGCACCTGTGGACAGTCTGTTACCACTGACCCTCACAAGTGCAGAGGAGGGAACAGGAGGGCACAACAATGAAGCCCAGGTCAACCGGCACCCTCAGGGAACTGGCTGCCTTCATCTGGGCAGCCACAGATCAGCACAGGCAAGGCACACACATGGCGGCTCACTTCAGAACAGCAGCTGTCATGACAATTAAAGCACAGAACCAGGAACCAGCCTACTGGGTCTGTGTCTGAGCACTGCCACTCACCCTCTGCAACAACTTAGGCAAGATAATAATGTCCCCATGCCTCAGTATACTCATCTGTAGAATGGGGCTGCAGCACCAGTCTCACTGTGTCCCAGTGGGGATTAAATGAGTTAATATTCCTACAACTTTGGAACTGCATCTGACACGTGGTAAGAGCTATGTGAGCATGTGTTAAATTTTAAATAAACATATTTTAAAAGGGCCACATTTGATTTGGTTTTCAGTAATGCTATGAAAATCCTCCTAAAATGTTTGGTCCCATTTGCCTGTTCAGGAAGGTACGGCACACCACCATTTCCCACTCAGATGGAATGTGGCAAATGTCTGGTTAATTGACACCCTGCACAGCCCTGATTCTATAAACAACATTGCAACGATTTCAAGACCCTTCTTATTTCCTCACTTGCTTTAACGTAAAAGGTATAATGATAAGGTTATCCAGTTGGGTCTTTAGAAAACACATCAGGGCAACCCCTCAGGTCCCCTCCTCTCTGGGAGCTTTTCTGTCCTCTCAATAAATCCTGCTTTAAAAAAAAAAAAAGAAAACACATGAGACCTTAAGATTCAAGGTAGTCATCCTGATGGTGGGGGTAGAGGTGGGAGAGGGCTCACTCCCATTGTTCAGAGTATCAGAGGCACACCTTGAGGCCAGGAACGTGCTGGGCAGGAAAACCTGGCCCACTGCGTAGTCAACCTCAGTAGGCCTCTGTCCTTCTCTGTTCCTCTGGGTCTGTCTCTGCTCTTGCAGACTCTTTAGATTTGACAAAGACCTTAGGCATCATGTAACAGTACTTTGTAGGTGAGGTACCCAAGGTTGAGCATGGTGATAAGATTTCCCTAAAGCCCAAAGCGAGTAACTAGAAATCAGCCATTCTACCATGTAAGCCCACCACAGAGAATGTCACCCACCTCATTTACCAGTTTTGGTTCCAAATGACTGACTTTTCCTTAAAAAAACGTAATCCATCTCTAAAAGATGAATATCTACCCCCACTGAGACTCTTTCAAAGAATGGGCAACAATTTATGAATGTGTCTACTCATATTGCCATAGAGTATGTGACCAGTCCCAGCCTAGTCAGGAATAGCAGCCCAATTTAAACTCACTTCACAGATTCAAAAATGCTGGTGAAGGATTTCTCCAGTCAGCAGGCTACACTGGGCTTTGTCCTTCTATGAGTAAGAGAAAGTCTATGTCTTGTACAAGCATAGGTAGTCCATGGCTGGGAACTAGAGACAAGCACAACTGCATGTGTGCGCGTGCACACACGTGCACACACGTGCACACACACAAGACCCTTTTGGTCTTAAAGTCATAGCAGGTGGACCATCAGACCCTGAGAATCCAGGGATGAGCAGGCAACCAGCACTTGAAGGTTACCCCAGGGCTCCTGGGTGGACCCCTCAGTAAGTAGGTAAGTTATGGACAGGAGTTTGGGGATGGCCAGAAGTGTCCATCCTGGCAGGCCAGGGACTAGCATCAGGAAGGTCTGGTGGAGACAGCAGGCCCCATTAAGGCCTAAGCATCCCAATCAGGGCTTGTTTTCTGGAGGGACCAGCAAGTGTAGAGTTTAACTCAGTCCTAGGAAACCGGTGTTGCCAAGCAGGTTACAAAGGCAGGGCCTGGAGGGTGAGGAACAAAGATGATGACACTGTTTGGTTTGATCTCTATGTGGGGCAGAGGCCCAGCTGTGAAGACCACCACGAGGTCAGCGTGGGATCTGCAGCACTACTCGCTCAATGCCCAGCCCCCTGAGCTCCTGATCAGACATCCCCAGGCCCCACTGAGGTCTCAGTTGGGTCTTTAGCCTGGTCCTCATGGTCCTGTTGCACTGACAAGAGGACAGCGGAGGCAGAGTTGGGCAGAAAGTGATGTCTGGGTTCTTGGTTGAGCATGATTTTCCCATGCTGGAAGCTTCCCCAGCAAGAAAAGAAGCATCCCTGTGTGGTTTCCGACTTGCAGATAGATGCATGCCCCAGACCAGGAATCCTCAGAGGGCTGGTAGCAAAAAAAAGCTAATTTTATCCACTTTGCTGACTCCGAGGTAAAGGCACAATGGGTCTCTACTGCATGTGGTTGCAGCCTCCCGACAATAACTTTTAAAATAATTTAGGCCGGGCTTGGTGCCTCAGCCTGTAATCCCAGAACTTTGGGAAGCCGAGGCAAGCGGGTTGCCTGAGCCCACGGATTCAAGACCAGCCCAGGCAACTTGGTGAGGCCTCATCTCTACAATATATCAAAAATTAGCCAGGCGTGATAACGCGCGCCTGTAGTTCTGGCGCTTCCGGCTACTTGGATGGCTGAGGTGGAAGGATTGCTGGAGCCCAGCTAGTCGACGCTGGAGTGGCTGTGAGCATGCCACTGCACTCCAGCCTGGGTGACAGAATGAGACTACAACTGAAAAAAATAAAATAATTAAAAACCTCTCTTTGGCAGACCCTACCAATCTTGTCCTGATTTCTGTCCTGTTTCTCTCCCATTGTCGGTTCCCTCAACCTCAATCTCACCGTCTTGACCTAAAGGTCTTAATTTGCAATGCACACCACTAAGTTAACTTTAAGATGGCAACATTTTACTCTTCCCAGTTCTGTTTACTGTAAGTCCCCAACACACAAAAGAGTTCTATTCCAAGAGTACATTCATAAGTCCAACTTGTTCTAAGTCCAACAAAATTAGCCTAGGTACCCAACAAACACAATCAGCTATATAATACTGTATTATAATCATTTTATAATACTTTTCATACAAAAAGTACATAAGAAACAAACAGTACTGTGAAGTACGCAAAAGCACAACCACTTGCAGGAGATGGCAATGTACACCAGATACGTAAACACACACGACTGGACATACAAACATACATTTGCATCTTTGCAAGTTTGCAGCTTGAAGACTTGTATATAGGGGACTTACTGCAGTTATTTTTGAGAGGATCACAGAAAACAGGAATCATCTCAAGCAAAGGAATGAATAACTAGTGGTAGAATTGTGATACTTGGATGGCGAGGTGTTTTAAGGCAGAGTAAGCTGCCCAGTACCCATACCTCCTTCATAATGGCACTTCGATTTCCTTTTGAGAAATTTTATCGCCCCCATTGTGTAACCCAAGGTCTTACCTCCTATTAGGAATATAAGACATGACATATCCTTCCTCGGCCATCCAAAGCAGGCACAAGTCCCATTTCAGCCTGCTGGATGATGGTTGGCAGCCATCCATCACAAAGGCAGCAGCATGCTGACCCTGTCGATCCCGCCCCACATCCCTCAGATATCCCCTGGTCCCTGCCCTTACCCTCTAGTTCTCTCATGTCCCATGATTCTGTGGGTCCCCTTCTCCCATAGTTTTCCAGTAAAGTATTTGTTAAAGCTAAATGATCTTGCTGTTTGCAAAGAGCATTGATTCCCAAGTGGATGCCATGACCACCTCTACCCAGAGTATGACCAGCAGTGGCCGGGCAGAGAGCTAGATGGCTCACTGTCCCCCTCCATGCAGAGGCCGGAATGCAATCCACCATGGCGATCACCACCATGAACACAGGTTACTAACACATGTGCAACCAGAAACAAGAGCCATTGGAGGGGACAAATTGGGGGGCCAGAAAATGACATCTGTCACCCAATGGGAACAGGATGGTCATTTACAGTCCTGAAAGCCAGGCTGACAGTGGGAACATCCTTTCAACTGCCAGTCTTTCATGCTCCCTCCTGCCTCCTGCCATGGGCATATACTCAGACATGTATATGAACGCATGCAAGCCCACACATGGGCACACATGCATGCATATGTTCACACACATGCATACACTTGGCCAGCAGGCATTCTCTTAGTCCTCTCTGGGGAGAATCTCTCTGGAAAAATATGGCAGGCCCCGTGTCCTGGTGGGGGCTGGGCAGCAAAGGGAAGAAGAAAGAAAGAAGGTGTGGAGGGAGAGGAGGAAAAAATCTGTGTTTTTTTAGACCCCGACCTCAAAACACTCATAACTGTCTTCCTTCCCTGGTGGGACCCAAAAGGCCAGGTCCCTTCCTTCCCAATTCCCTCCGGGCCTCAAATAACCCAGGAGTCTCAAGGAGACATAGCACTCCACTCTATGTAAGCCTAACAGGGCCACCCAGGAAAGCTGAAAACAAAAAACACAGTCGAGGGGGAAGGCCAAACTGTCACTCACTCCACCATCCCGTCTACTGCATGCTCTTCCAGTCCAGGAACAACAGGCCTTTGTGCTGATTGGGGAGGGGAGGGGGGAGGAAATACAACCACCCAGTAAGCTCAGCATAGCCAGGACCCTCAGACCAAGTGCCAAACCAGCTTCTAACAGAGCTCCATCCACTCAATGTGGACACATGGGTGAGACCTGTGAGTGCACACATATGTACACACACCCACATCCACACCCACACACATACACACACAGGCACACACCTTCCCCATGCCCACTGGGAACCAGGTAAGCAGCTAACAGGTGGTGCTGAACCAAGAACAAAATGGCAAAAGCACACGGACGTGAGGCAGAGGCAATTTGCTTCCTAGTACGTTTATTGGAGCCTTGGTTAAGCGTGGATGCGGGTCAGGAGCCCGGCAGAGCCCAGCCAGCCCAACTGCAGCAGGGCACTGGGGGCCGATGTCCTTTTCTCCCCATTATAGACAACATTATTAAAAAAAATAAACTTTACAATAATACATTTTCGCTCATCTGTTGGGGTATTATTCTGATAGTTTTGTTTCTTTAAAAAAGGAAACAAAGGGAAACCACACGATATATGTATATGGATGTGTATATACATATATGTTGAGAGAGGAGCCTTGGTATGTACATACAGTTGGCGTATGTCTCGGAAAGGACGGGGGGAGTGGAAAAGGGGAAGAGGGAGAATAGAGAAGGAGAGAGCTCAAGAGACCAGAGTGTGTGGTAGAGACACGTCCAACAGTGGTCCCTCCTGCCCCTCTTAGCGGCCCCTCTCCCCAAAGGGAAACCTGCCAAATGGACCCACAAGAAACCAAAAAAGCCAAAGTATCATTTCTCTTTGACTTCAAAATTCCTGCCACCAAGGACGAAGAAGCACCCCGGGGCTGGGGCCCAAGCTTTGCTCCCTCCCTGCAAGGGGACTTCCCAGGCGGACTGAGCTCCCAAGCCCTCCTGGAGCAGGCCCCCAGAACCCTACTCTGTGCTACAGTCAGGGGGAGCCCTGTGAAGTGCCATCCCCCTCCACCAGCATCTGTGGTGGTTCCCACATCAGATGCAGACCCACCCTGCCCACCTGAGGGCAGAGGGAGGGCAAAACCATCTCCATCCTTGATGCCAAGAGGAGGGGGCTGCAGGTAGACCGCCTCCCGTGGCCAGCCCCACTGCCCTGCTGACCGATGCCCTCTGCCAGCCTCTAGCAGGTCCCCAGAGTGGGCAGCTTGAGAAGGCAGCCACATCGTCCTGCCCCCAGCCTGCCTCAGGCACGAGTCCCTTCAGCTGCAGGGCTCCCATCTTGGTCTCTGCTTCAGAAGGGTCCAGAGAGGAAAACACCAGGAGAAAGTGAAGGGCATTTCTACAGCCCCATGCCCTCCTCGGCGCTGGGGCTTCCCTTGCCAGAAGACCCTTGGGCCGGCTCTCAGGCTGCCCGCCTGCTTGTCTGTTTGGTTTAGAAAAATTTCTCCAGAGAAGAAACCTGGGAGGAGACAGGTTCAGCGACAAAGTGGGAAAAACAATTTTTTTTGCAAGGTGTGTGTGTGTGTCTGTGTGTGTTTCCATTTTGTCAGGCGGGTGTTCTTGTCCATGTAGCTTTCAGAAATCTTCCGACACAGTTCCTGGTGCCTACAAGGCCAGTTTCAGCATCAGGAAAGAGAGCACGGTCAAGGCAGCCGACGGTCTGGCTCTGCTGGGGCCTGAGTTAGGTTTGATCACCTTGTTACTGCTCCCTGGGATGATGTTTGTCGTGAGCTGAGGCCACAGCAGAAGGAGACATAGCAACAAAAAGAACAACAATAAAAAATCAGCAGGCCGGAGATCAGTCAAAGGAAAGGACCAGGAACTGGACCCTTGAGTCCCCTCCCCCTCTGTCCACCCAGAGGACTCTCCCTTGCACTCTGAAGGCAGCGCCAGGTTTCCATGGGACTGGGCTAGATAAGAACAAGAGGGAATGCTCTGTCACTCTAGCCCAGAGCCCTCGGGTTTGAGGGCTGTGGTCCTCAGGAAAACGGACTGCTCCTTCCAGCAGCAGGGCTGAGGATCTGTGTCCCAAAGAAGAAGGAAGTGTGATGAAGATCTCACTAGAAGCTCCAGGGACCACAAGGCCCTGCCTCTTGAGAGGAGAGAAGAGGAGAAGGAACCCACACTCTCCCTGTTGCTAAATTTGTTCTAATCCCCTCTCTTCCTGCAGAAGCCTACCTGCACATCTCTGTCTGAGCTTCTCTCTCCTTCTGAATAATCTTACGCTGCCTTTTCTTTTCACCTACGTTATCACTATACACATACTACTATGCTGGAGGTTCCTTCAAAGAAGGGGCTGTGTCTTTTTTTACCTATATAGCTCCTAAATATCACAAACAGTGTCAAGAAGGTACTCAATACATTTATGTTAAAGAAAAAGGAAGGTGTGGGAGGGCCTCTGTTCAGAGAAGTCATTGTCTCTCCTCCAAAGAGACAGCCACAAGCCCTGAATGTAGCCTTTGCACTCCCCCACCCCACCCCAGCAGAGTGAATATTCCACCCAGGTCCAGGCTGGGCCTGAAGCCCAACTGCCTCAGCCCATACAATGGAATTTGAGCCCACTGAGTCAGAGGCACACCAGGGAAATAGCCCTCTCTGAGCCCACCTCCTGCACCCACCCCTCACTCTGCCCCTCACTCACCTCTGTGAAGCACATGCTTAACTCTTTGGAGTTGTTGGCCTTCAGCCCCTGCTCCTGTAGGAGAGAAGGTACTAGTAAGGACAGGTTACTGGGGCTTTTTCTGGCCAACCATTGTCCAGTGACTCGGATAAGGCCCTGCCATCCACTGTTGGCATCGTCAAGCACAGGGGACACAGTGAAGATACTGGCTCGATCCCACAAAGCATAAAAGGCTCCTGCCCTTCTGCCAACCTCAGCAATTAGGTCCGAAGCTCCCTGGGCTCTTGGAGAACAGAGCTCTAAATTTTAAACTTACGGCATTATGCAGTCATCAGCCACTCACATGTCTGTTTACATGCTCAGAGCTCCTCAAAGGCAGGGACCATGTCTTCTTTTCCTTGCACTGAGCCCGGTCTGGCTCCTAACAGCAACTCAATACATGTCGCACTAGATGCATCCATGCATGAATGAGAGTGAATGAATGCCACCGCATAGGAATGGCCTCCAAGCATTCCTCAAAGAGCCAAAGACAGATTTACCACTTAACCTAGCAATCCCACTCCTGGGTATATACCCAAAGGAGCATAAATCATTCTACCAAAAGGATACCTGCCCTTGTACGTCTATCACAGCACTATTCACAATAGCAAAAACATGAAACCAACCTAGGTGCCCATTGATGGTGAACTGGATAAAGAAAATGTGGTACATATACACCATGGAATACTATGCAGTCATTAAAAAAACAAAATCATGTCCTTTGCAGCAACATGGATGCAGGTGGAAACCATCATCCTAAGTAAATTATCCGCAAAACAGAAACCTAAATATTACATGTTCTCCCTTATAAGTGGGTATAAACACTGAATACCCAAGTGCATAAGGATGGGAACAAGACACTGGGGACTCAAAAGGGGGAGGTAAGGAAGGGAGTAAAGGATGAAAAATTATCCAATGGGTACCATGCCTACCACTTGGGTGATAGGCTCAATAGAAGACCAAAACACATGGTCCCACAACATCTGTGTAACAAATCCCTTGAATCTAAATAAAATAAGATAAGTTTTACGTTGGCCAACTGATTTGAAAAAAAGAAATGGCCTTCTAGTGCAAGTTCCTGTGAATTTGTCATGGATGCTGGAGGACTTTACAGAAAAAGATCATGAGTGGGTTTATCTGGGCTGCGGGGGAAGAGGAAGAGGTATGATTGATTAGTGGTGTCTGCCATTGGTGCATGTTAAGTAGACTTTTGGCAACTGTGCCAGGCCATTTCACCGTAAACAGATGTACTGCACCTGGGCACTTGTGGACAAGGTGAAGAATAAGAAAGGAAGTCTGGCTTGGTGATGATTCCAGGATTCTCTACCCTAGCATGACCACCTGGATGCATAGAGAACAAGCCCTTTGTTCTCATCCTCATAATAGTGATCCATGGGAACCAGCTGGAGGATGTTATGTTTCTATCCTGGCTTCAGATGGCTTGTTCCCAAGGCACTTGTGAGGAAGCTCTGGCCACCAGAAGCAACTGGGAAGCCCAAGAAATTATGCCTAAATCACTGCTCTTGGCCAGAAGTATCAATAATCTCTTGGACATCACAGGCAATCTACCACTCAGGGCATCTGGTCAGCTAAACAAGGCCCCAGCTGTCACACAGAGACCCCAGCCAAACGTAGAGTCATTGCCAATGGAGAAGACATGACCACAGTGATGATTAGTACAGTCAGAATGGAGGGTACTATTTAAGACCTCAGTACCCGTGTCTCTAGTGCCAAGACAGAGCCTGACCCACCCCACTCAAGGCCTGGATTCTATGCCCCAGGACTCAGTGTCATTCCAGCCAGGGCTGTGTGAGGTCACTGTGGGGGACAGAACACACCCACTCTCTCAGAAGCAGTGCTGTCATCACAGTCTCCCATCTACCCTCCCTCACTCCTTGGATAACCTTTGCCTGGTCACCTCAACCCCATCGGTGAGGTTCTGTGGCCTGTCGGGGTCTTAGCTCACAACCCATTACCCACAGACACCCAGCATCACTTCCTGCTCAGGTTCAGGTGTGGCAGGCCAAACCCCACCCCCTTGGGAGTCCTGTCTTATCCCTGTGTCCCCATCCCCCAAAAGAGCTCCTTAAATACAAGCCCACAAAGAATCTCAGAGGCAGACAGTTCCCTGGACTCAAAGTCATCACCCCATGCCACCAAAGCAACCCTCTTTGTATTTGTTTTGTATATTGGAGTCTACTGCTTAAGAAAATCAAGGTCTGAGAAAAAAACTAAACTGGATGGCTGCAAGGGTGGGGTGGGGCCTGCACAACATTCTGTGGCTGTGGATGCCAGCCTTCAGTGAAGCCCCAGGCCTAGACAGAACCTAGACACTCCTAGACACCTGTAGCCACCCCGGCGCTGCAGGGTCACGCCCAAGGCCAGCCCTTACAGAGAAGCTGGCAGAGCACCAGGCACCAGGTGTGAGAAGATAGAGTCTGAATGCTGACGCTCTCTGGAGTGAGCCTGGCCTGTGATTGGATTTCACTCTTCAGAGTGAGCAGGACTTGACAGGCTCGTCTCAATGAGGAGAGAGGGGAGAGGTGTCGGCAAATATCACATAGGAAAAAGGAGAGGGAAGAGGAATGAGGTAGGAGTAAGAGAGGAAACAGGTGAAGGGAGAAGCAGAGAAAAAGGAAAGGCAGCACAGGGAAGGAAGGGGAGGGGACAGAGGGGGAGGAAACGGGTAGGAGATGAGGGAGTAGGGGGGAAGAGGGGGAAGGAAGGCAGGGGGGCCCCTGCTCCATCCTTTGTGCTGTCCTGACTCAGTGCCTGGACTCTTGTCCCTCCACCTGGGATGCCCTGACCCACTCGAATCCCACATCCACGTCTCCACATAGTCCATTCCCCCTGTTCTCCCAGGCTTGGCAGTGGGTGTCACCTTGCCCATGAATCCTTGGCTTCTACTCCCCTCTCCCATCAGAGCGGTCCCTCCCTCCTCAGGACCCCACCACATCCTGCCAGTCCTGCAAGGGATGGATGAGCCAGCCACCTTTTCCCTCACAACCTCTGAGTGTGCAGCCTGTCATTCCACTGGCACGAGGACCAGGGAAGTGGCCCATGCAGCCTGTTAGCCTCAGTGCCTGGGATGCAGTGATATGCAGTAGCATTTCTGTGGAATACATGAGCAAATGCACTAATGGGCTCTCAGCCCCACACTCTGACGTCCTGGGGCCTGTGTATTGGGTATGAAACCCATCCAGGGAGCAGACAGGAAGAGGGGAAAGGGAAAGGTGACTACTAACTGCAGAGTCTGCTGCAGGCACATGGCGAGGAGTCCTTGGGGCAGCCACTCCAAACTCTTTTTATTTTTTGATTTTTATTTTTTGAATCAGAGTCTCACTCTATTGCCCAGGCAGGAGTGGAGTGGCATGATCTTGATTACCATAGCCTCGACCTGCTGAGCTCAGGCATTGCTTCTACCTCAGTCTTCCAAGTAGCTGGAACTACAGGTGCATGCCACCACAATCGGCTAATTTTTTTAAAAAAATTGGGGCAACTTGGCGAGATCTCATCTCTACAATAAATAAAAAATGAGCCGGGCTTGGTAGCGCGCGCCTGTAGTTCCAGCTACTTGGAAGGCTGAGGCGGAAGGATCGCCAGAGCCCAGCAGGTCAAGGCTGCGGTGGCCGGGAGCGGCCACTGCACTCCAGTCTGGGTGACAGAGTGAGACTCCAACTCAAAAAAAGAAAAAAAAATTATTGTAGAGACAAAGTCTAGCCAAGTTGCCCAGGTTGGTCTCAAACCACTGGGCTCAGATAATTCTCTCATTCCTCTCTCTCCCAAAGTGCTGGGATTCCAGGTATAAGCCACCATGCCCAGTCAAATTCATTTTTAACTTTCCCCAATATATGACTGGCAGTGCCAAACGTAAGAGGAAAAACTGGCAGAAGGAAACACAGAAGGCAGAGGAGATCAGGTACTGCCTAAGCTCCCGGCACAAGGAAGGTGAGACAGAGCCCTGCAAATTGGCACTGTGGGCCCAGAGTAGCTGCAGCAGAATGTCAGGGATGATAGCCGGCCATGGCCAGGAAAAGCACTAACACATGGCCAGGCTTTCTCCAGTCCCCATGCACCATTCTGGTCCAGGCCCCATTGTGCAACCAAAGATGCTCTCTGCAGGCCGGGCTCGGTGGCGCAGCCTGTAATTCCAGCGCTTTGGGAGCCCAAGGCAAATGGATTGCCTGAGCCCACGGGTTCGAGACCAGCCCAGGCAACTTGGTGAGACTTCATCTCTACAATAAATAAATAAATAATTAGCCAGGCATGGTAGTTAGTGCGCGCTGGTAGTTCCGACTACTTGGAAGGCTGGGGCAGAAGGACCGCCAGAGCCCAGCAGGTCGACACTGGGGTGGCCATGAGCAAGCCACTGCACTCCAGCCTGGGTGATGGAGTGAGACTCCAACTCAAAAACAAAAACAAAAATCCTCTATACAATCTTCCTACATCTTCAATAGAAAGACAACTTCACCTCTGTACCCTCTGGGCACCGTGCATGCGGAGACACCCAGGACACCCAGGGAGGAGGCCACCAGCAGGAAAACACACAGTCTATATTCTCAAAAGAGCAGTGAGCTGCAAAAAATCAAATATACCACAGACTCTGGGTTCTTTCCTTCATCCTGAGCAGAGCACTGCTTCACACCAGGCACTGTGCACTTGGCTACACAGGGTGACACGGGAGAGTGAGGTGCCACCCTGGCTTCCAGGGACACTGGCCTAGTAGGGGAGAGGAGAACACATCATGGTATACATGAAGCCAAGCGGGAACCCAAGGTAGGGTAGGTGGCAACTTTACCTGGGTGGAATCTGGAACGACAACCCCAAGGGGTGACATCTGAGTAAGATTCACTAGGAAGAGAGGGATGGATGAGGGAAGGAGAGGTATTATGCTCAGAGGAGCAAACAGGTGCAGGGTCAGCATTCAGCTCACCCATCTTGTGGGCCTAGTCCATGGGAAAACCTCACTCAGCTTCAGAAACAGAGGGCCTTAGGTTCAGGCCTGGTGGAGAGCTTTGGAAGGCCGAGGCAGGAGGATCTCTTGAGGTCACAAGTTTGAGACCAGCCTGGGCAATATAGTGAGACTCCCATCTCTATAAAAAATTTAAAAATTAGCCAGGCATAGTGGCATGCACCTCAGCTACTGGAAGGCTGAGGTGGGAGGATCACTTGAGCCCAGGAGTTTAAGGCTACAGTGAGCTATGACCACATCACTGCACTCCAGCATGGGTGACAGAGAGAAACCCCACCTCTTAAAAAAGAAAACTGGGGGGGAGGGGTGGAGGGAGATAAATATCCAATACTGACCTGCATCTCCCTGCTCTAGAGACCAGTGGGATGGAAGGAAGTAGGAGGAAAGACAACGTGTGTATACAGGCAGGGCCAGAAGGCCCCAGGAGAGTCCATTCTGCAGACCCTGCCAGCCTCTCTCCAAACCCCATGAATCAAATGAACTGGGAATTCTAGGTTCTTTCCTTTAACCAGAGCACAACACTTGCTCTATGCCTGGCACTATGCACCTGGCTAAGCTGCACAGGATGACACAGAAGTGTGAGAAGCCACCCTAGCCTCAAGGGACACTGGCCTAGGAAGGAAGAAGAGAACACAGAGCAGAGCTGCCCAGAGAGGGAGCTGCAGTCAAGGGAGATACTTAGGAGAGCAGAACCCAAGATAGCGTTAAAGATACCCAGACAAATAGGGCTCGGTGGCTCAGCCTGTAATCCCACGCCTTTGGGAGGCTGAGATGAGTGGATTGC